GCTTTTAATTGGGATACGTTACAGTAGGCAAAATGTCCGAAAAAGCTTTTGTGATAACGGCTGTACTCTCGTATATGATTTATTATTTTTTAATTAGTTCAAGTGCTTAATGAAATTTACAGGCTGTCGGTGAGCTTTCCTTATATTTTGATGTCACAAAGCATGATAATCCTTTTAATTTTTTATTTTAATAAATTATGTTATTTTTGGGTTCTCATTATTTGCACCCACCCCTATCCTAAAGCCTCTTATTAGCTAGACGTATTTCTCTGTAGAGATAAATAAGTAAGATTTTTCTGAGTTTAGAATATTATCACATTCATCATATTTTCAATTTTATAATACCAAAGATTGAAATTATAAGATCGATTGTGCCACTCTGTATCTCAAAAAGAAGTTAAACCAAAATTTCGCTATTTATTTTATTTAATTTAAATTAGATATTTAGTAAACAACCTTATAGTAAAATATAAGTAATATAACACAAGGTGAATAAAAAGTATGGAACCAAACTTATTGGTGCTTAAATTATTTATATTTTTTGAAAAAACTAATTAATGAATGATATAAAAATGTTTTGTTTTTGAGTTCTGCACAATTTTTAAGTTTTTTTTTTAATGGCAACCCACTATAAAATCTTTTTTTACGAAGTGTATGATCCAAGGATACAATTTTCTACAATTTATTCAATTTTTATTTAAAAAAAGTTTTCATATAAGTTGTCAATTTGATAAAAAAAAATCGCATACTTAACTCAAAACAAAACAAAATTTCATTCTCAAAACACGATCATATTTAATCACACTTTAAATTTATTAATTATTATTTTCCAGACGCAAATAAAAAAAACGCATGTTGATGTAGATATACGTAAAATTTTTCACATAATTTTACGAGGTCTACCACTAATATGCGCATTTCAAAATATTTATAATAGTCACAAAACATTAAATACAAAACAAAAACATAAGAAAAAAATGTTGATACCTACATTGATATTTGTTAAAATCCCTATACAGAGTGTTAAAAAAAAGATTGTAAAATATTTCAGATGAACCGAAACAACCAAAAAGTCTTAATAAACATGGGTCCGCAAAGTAAGGGTTTCGGAAATATCGAAAATTCTTCGTTTTTTGAAACACTTATTTGAAATTTTCACATTCGATATCTCCGAAACCGTTCCTTTGCGGTTGACAAACAAAAGTAAATACTTTACACACCTATTTTTTTAATCAGTGAAATAAATGTAGTATATCACACATCAAAAAATAAAAATTATTAAAAAAAGAGCACATAAATATGTACTACCAATACCTGTAATTTTTTTGTGATTAGATGTATTTTGAGTGAAGAAAAAAAACACAAGCAATACACACCTAAACATTTTTTGTGTTACGCAAAAAAATTATTGTTGAGAAAGTTGCCTACATACCCACATTTTTACAGTCACAGGCAAAAAGGATGCACCTGATTAGTGATTAGTGATAAAATATGAAATGAAACCCTCAGACTCGCCGCAAAACTGAATAAACTCTGCGTTACCATCGTAGAAAAAAATGTATTGGCAAATTTAAACAAAGTTATTTTATACTGGGTGTCCCACGAGTAATAATGAGTCTGAAAATTTTTTTGAAGCAACTAACATTACATTTCAAAGATAACGTGGATATTAAAATATTTAGTTTTAATAAATTAAACATAGAGACCAAACAGAGCTTCAACTTTAATTTATAAAATGTCAAACCTTGGAGAATTTGGTGAGAATTACTAAAATGTTGCCGAAAAGACAAACAAGATTCTCAGTTATAAGAATATTTGAAAAACATTTCGCAGACCACGTTTCTATCTAGCGTGATATCCAAATAGACTTCCTAAAACTGGTGTAGTCATTTTGACTGACAGAAATCTGTCAAAAATAGAAATACGATTACTATGTTTAACTAATTAAAACGAAATATTTTCATATCCACGTTATCTATGAAATGTAATGTTAGTTGCTTCAAAAAAAATTTCAGGCTCATTAATAGGTACTCGTGGGACACCCTGTATTTAAAGATTAGCATTACTGTTAACGCGATTTAATTTCCAAAATTATGGAAAAAAAGTGAACGCAAAAACTATATTTTGAAAGCAAAAAGCGTCTTTACTGCTTTTAAAAAAGTAAGAGAAGGTATGTAACTTATATGCATAAGTGTGATTAATATTTTAGCTCATGACGTTTGAAATAAAATGTGATTGATATTCTATCACAATCAAGAAAAATTTGTTTCCTGTTGGCTATAAACCAAAAGCATCGTTTTTAAATTTATTCATATGGAAATCACATTGTATTTTTATCAGAAAATAATCAAAATCTCGTAATTTATTTAGTTTGTAAATATCTAAACTATTCAAATTTCTTATCAAACCTGAAATATAATCAACTTTGTAAATGTGGTTCACGAAGCTATAAAATTATCATATAATAAAATCTCTACAAGAAATACTATCTCTTAGACTCGTCTTTCCTGTATTTATTTTTTGCAGTTCACCCTTGCAACAATTAATGTGTTTAATGCGTTCTTCCTCCCATCTTGATAATGCACGTTCCACACATGTCTTTAATCAGTCAGTCAGTCACAGTCTCTACAAGGGGAGTCAAGCGACAACGACTTGATAGGTAAACAAAGCTGGAACAATCAACCAAGAGCTGCAAATCTATCTCGCAGTCATCAGACATAATAGCTAGGTGTTTTTACGCGCCTGGCCAAGACAGCTTCAGATTGAGTAGTACTCCCGTCCCAACCCTCCCCGTTTCGAATTTTCACTCTCTGAAGGAAGCTTCCAGCCGGACTTGGTGGACTTTTTCGTGAAAGCTCCATTTTGTACGATCACATTCTGAGCCGGTGGCAGCCTCCTTGATGGATTAATCCGGCCCTAATGAGTGTAAGAGCGATAAGTCTCGCATGTGAATGCTCCGAAGTCAGCAGCAATCGCTAATTAGATGAATGGTGGCTCACAATGCCTAACCTACTTGACTGGCATATCGTGCGGTTTGTTGTATAACCACWTGCACTTATTCCTGCTAAATCTCTGCTGCTGCTGTGCTCGACTTGCTTACTCTACTATTAAGATTAATGAGACGGATTTTGGGGCGGTTCATGTTCTGTGTTCGTATTATAATAGGGAATTTTTGGGCCAATGTGCGGGTGGGTGGAGAAAATTGAGCGGAGTGGTGCTTCTGACACCTATACTAACACAACTAATTAGCTATTTACAGAGCTTCCGCCAAACTTAGTCAATATGACTGAATCTAACAAAACTGGTGTAAAAATACCAATCAAAAATATTTCTATCAATATCGTTAAATTTATACATACTTACCAACTTGTGTAATGCCGCATTTAGGTAAGTGAAGTAGAAAAAGCTAGAATCGTGGTTCACTTGGAAAATGGTAGAAAAATTATGAATTTAGCGGCAGGATTTAAAGTGTCATCAAAATATTTCAACCTATTTTTAATAAAACACGTTCACACCATGGAAAAATTGAAAAAAAAACTCTAAATGTTTTTGACAGTTCCCGTTTTTTTTAATGTAGCTGTACATTTAACAGTTAAAATTTTTGACATTTGACGTATGCGGTACACAATGTGCTTGCATTAGTTTCGTTGAAATACATTGGACTGCAAAAATTTCTCACTTATAAACGACAGTCTACGGCCAGTGATGACCATTTTTTTGTCAAAAAAATGTAGTTTCCCTGTGTAATTTTGTCTGTTGTCAATCTTGTTTCAAAAATGAATATAATGTCAAAAACTAATTAACAAATATTTTACTGTGTCGCCAGTCTCTAACTTCAACAGAATGAAAATAATTACCATGCTGGAGAGAGGATTTTTTGAAGTTGAGGTAGCGGATCCAATGGTCAATTATTATTTGATATCTATACGTTCATTTCACAAGAGAGCATGTTAGGCAATGATATTTGACTACCAAAATTTAATGCTACGAGTATCTTTAATTAGTTTTTTGAGAAAAAAGAATTTTAGTTAATGTTATTGATAGAAATTCAATTACCTAAATGATATATCTTTTTGAAAAATATGAATGACTGAAACACAAGAATTAAACAAACGTTGTTCAAACGCCCAGAAAAGTAAATATCTTTAATGTTATCTGTGCCATATTATATTCTCCTTTGAGCGGTCTTTTATGTTGGAAAAGCGGTCAAAGAAACCAAGTTTCTTGTAAAAAACCTCTTACTTTAATACATACTGCAGACTGAAATATTACATTTATTTTTCTCAAGACATTATTTTATTCTTGTGTAAATTAATTTGTTATCAAAGAGTTTAAAAAAATAATTTTTCAGACTTGAAGCGACGAATACTGCGAAATTAATATTTTTTATGTATCCGTTTTTTATGATCCGTTTACGAAAATGTGAAATAAAATCAATAAAAATGCAATTATGCAACCAAAATATCACACAGGTACTAAAGGTAAGCAGATGCACCTTCCCCAACACTAGCACCAGTCGCATTTTCGCTTTGGATCGTTTCAGCGGTACCCGATCATCACACATCATGATCATTTGCGCTAGTGCTGCCACCTAGGAGTCAGTAGACTGCTACAGGCGACTGTAAAACGACTATAATTTTGGTTGCATAGTACGAGGATTGTGACTCACCCTAAATCAACATCGCACAAATACGCCCCCAAGGATTTAAACGAATCTAATTCTTCCAACCGAATATTTATCCATAAATCATTATTATAGTTTTAGTAAAACATTTTTAATTTACAATAATCAATCTTGCAGTTAGGTGATTAACATGATGTAATAAAAATAAACCGCGGAAAAAATGTGTTGGAGATTGAATAATTATTGATCTGAACCCGCGTGATTTTTAAAGAAAGAACGCCAACTTTAACTACTTATCAACATAAATTTTTACTTTAAAATATAATTAACAATGAATGTTATGTTTTTGTGGTAAAGTAGGTAATAAAACTCAAAATTCAATATTGTAATAGATTTAATTTAATACACACTGAAATGGGAGTTCAGTATAGGAACACGATTATATTAAGTGGAGTGCAGCCCATACGAACACCGTAGTGCTACAGCCATATCGTTGAAATAAATAAAAATATTCGAAATAACATATTATTAACATTAATAGTTACAGTTACATTGAATTGAATCCGGCATTGCGGCAAATACTACAAGAACAGACCCTGGTCCACTGTTATTACTAGTATTGCATTACAAAATGAAGATCAGCCATCACATTCTTTTTTTTTAATTCTTTTACGGAATAGGATGGTTGTCTTGGTCGGAATAATTGTAAAAGAAAATGCGGATATGCTCCTATAGATTAATCTGACCCTGAATTAAATCTATAAGACGACCCTGTTGACATACAGGGGCAAATTTCTCGATTTGTCTAACACCAACATTAAAGAGTAACTTTGAAAAACATGAATCTATACAATGATAATACTATACATTAAGTGGAAATAATTTAATGAGAGACATTTTGTACAGTATAGTGGGTCTAGTACACGGCAATAAATACTGTTTATATACAGTCAAGGCTACTGGCCATCAAAAATGATATGATCGGGAATGTACAGTGGGCCCAAGACGGCCTGAAGCAGCAACGTCACGCTATCCAGGGCCCTCAGTCTCAAACAACAACCTACAACCTAATTATTACAAATATACATGAATCAATAATAAACTCAATAATCAATAATAATTACGAAAGTTAAACATTGCTTTGGTATCGGTTACATCGAACAATCGTCGATCCGGCCCTTCGCTCAAAAAGGGCCGTCTCGTCGCAATACTATACACAGCTAAATCGTCCATCGGGAGACCCCACGCGTGGAATCTCCCGATGCCCTACAGTGTCCATCACTCATCACAATTCCCTAAGAGTTCGTGGCGACTAGTACGTAAGACTGGGCGGCGGCGGGGGTAGCCTCATGCCGCCCCACGGAAAGAGTCATGTTGCCTCCTTGGAGGCGATGCTCGCTGACGAATCCTCGTCTCCACTCAGCATCGGCATCGTAGAAAGCAGATGACCCTTGCCCTGGTTCACCACACACTTCCGCATGTGTTTCTCTAACGTCGAGGGCACCGAGAACGGCATTTCGCAGAACCGACACCGGTAGACGTCCTTCCCGATCCGGCCGTGCGTTTTCATATGCCGCGTCAATTTCGAACTTTGCGCACAAGCGTACGAACAGAGTTCGCACTTGTACGGCTTTTCTCCCGTATGCGAGCGACGATGCACCGTCAAATTCGAACAGTTCTTAAACACTTTGCCACAGAACTCACAAGTATCGTTCCGTCTGTTTGTATCTTTTTTGATTAGGGGGTTAGGGAGGAGGGCACTAGGGCCAGGTAAGCCCTTACTTTCGCGTGGTAAGCCAGGAAGCCACCAATCGTTGCGTTCCAAATCGAGTTTGAGCCGTTTGGTAGCTTCATACGTATCGTTGAACGGCGGAAAAAGAGGCAATGGTTGAGGAGGAGGACCGGGGAGGAGGCTTTTGGCAAACTCGTCGCGAAGTTTCAGTTGGTTTGTCAAACTGGTACTGTTGTTATTATCACGATCTTTACTCGCAAGTTGAAGTTTAAGGGCCGAATTTGATTCTTGAAGGGCTTGTTTATAAGCTTCACTGTACTGCGCGATGTTACTTAAACCAAACTTATCCATTAGTTCCCCGACTAGAGAAGCTGATTGGTTGGCGTTTTTTGGAGGTATTTGTGTAGGAACAGATAAATCTTCAGCTTCTTCTTCTTCCAACTCGTCTTCTTCCTCTTCTTCTTCATCTACGTCGTCTTCTTCTTCACTTTCATCACCATCGAGTGTTTCAACTGAACCGGCGTTACTAGTACGATCTTCTGGTGTTCGATGTATTTTCATGTGGCGTTTTAGTTTTGAACTTTGAGCACATGCATGATCACAAACCGTGCATTTGTAAGGTAATTCCCCTGTATGTGTTCTTCGATGGGCGTCTAAATTATTCTGGTACCGGAATTTCTTGCCACAGTACTCACAAGCATGTACTGCTTCTCCCAAATTTGAATTTCGGGGAGATCCCGGTTTGCCTGGTGGAGTCGAAGCTGATCTTGGAGTTGATGTTAATTGTGTGTTATCATCTTTGGCTGGAGGTGACGTACTTGTGGCTCTACTTCCGCCACTATTGCTACTATTGTTGTTATTATTGTTGTTATTGCTGTTACTGCTACTGCTGCTGATGTTGTTTGGTATACTCGTGGGTGGCAGCTGCGATGGCGAGGGACTGGCGAATGGCGGTGAGTGCTTCCGTGGAGACGGTGAGCTCGCCTGAGCCGCTCCCGGACTGGTTGTACCAGCGAGTTGCCTCAACCGCTGCGAGTAAAAATCCAGTTGTGGTTCTAGAGAAAGAGGTTGGTTAGGTGTGCTGCGTTCCCTTGAAGGAACACTAGACGCGGAAGGCGCCCTCTCGGCAGGTGATGGAAAACTGGTGTGTGGTGGAGGGACACCTTGAGCTGCAACCGCCGCCGCCGCTGCTGCCAAATTCAACCCATGGTGCCGAAACTGCTCACTAACAAGTTGATCGATGCGATAGTGGTGTTCCGGTCGGGAAAATAGTGGAGCTGGAGGAACTGGACCGTGGTTAAGTGGTGGTAGCGGTAATCTCAACAAACCGCCAACACCAAAAGGGTTATGCAAGTCTGGGGGCGGCAGCAAGTGGTGGCGCATACTAGGCGGGGGCGGAGGCCCGCCAGAAGAGCACCCCGAGGAGCTACTACTAGCACTGCTAGAACTGTGATTATTATTCTTGCTGCTGGTGGGGGAGCTTTCGATGTAGATTTTGATACCATGCGAATGTTGGACGTGCTGGACTAGTCGCCAGGCCGAGTGCAGCCTGGCTTTGCACGTAGAACAAACGTAGTTGCTCGGTTCTGAAACAAAGAGAGGGTTATGAGGGGTGAAAAGCAATTTCCATGTCCATATCGCAGCGGTGGCGATCTGCATGCGGCCGCATGTTGGCGCGCCATTACCGCCCCCGCCGCGACAAAATAATAATACAGTGAAAATCGGAATGAAAAATTGCTCGGACATTTACGTTGCCGGCGCGCCGAGGGTGTGCCGTACGTGTCCGGACTGGCAAATGGGAGCTGGAAGTCCGATCCTGGCGCTCCTTTGACAATGACGAGGAAGCACGGATAACTGAACACATCTCGCGAGGTCAGACTTGAGACGGCGGAAGTAATATCGTAATGATGGGCTCGGTGATCGGACCGAAATCGCTTCTTTCTGCATTGTTCTGCGACCGTAATTTTGCGAAATCGATTCGACTAAACGGTGTCCCGCTCACGCCGGACGTCGAGGAAACGGAAATAGTAGCGGTTTCCGGTTTGCGACACGGCTCCGGGCAAAGAAAGGTTTTTCAGGAATAGCTATGAGCGGCCGTTCGCACGATCGTTTTTCAAACGAGATGAAAGCACGACCGATAATTAAGGCCGTAATAAGATAGCCTGACATAAATAATGAGATGCAAGCACGTTCGAATGGTACTAAATGAAAAGGCGCGCGTGGAAGAATAACCATACAATGTAACATTAGCATGTATACTGCCATTCCTAGTACACACAGCCTCAAACACACAGGAAAAAAAACACAAATTGTTACGTCATCAGAAATAAATACGATACAACATTTAATAAATCCTGCGAGTGCATGTAGATCTTAACTAACTGACTGCGAAGCTTAAACGGAGAAATGATTAAATTTCACCTTTTTTCAGATGAGAAATTCTCGCAACATGAGTAACATTTACCTACATTAGGTCGACTTAAAATTTTACAACTTCAAGTTTTGCTTTTGGTCCCCACATTTAACATTTATATTTATTAAATGTATTGACAATACAATTCTTTATCATTATTAAAATATTCATCATAAAATATTCATCAAACTTGACCGTGCGACTTAACAAGAGCTTAACGAGCCACTGTAAATCATGCAGGTAACGACATTAGGGTGTGCGAACGCTGGTGGTCAAACCCGACCTTCGACCCTTCATCCATTAAACGTTTTACAAGTCTGAGATAAACACCAATAATGCACTTGCTCGCCATCAGAACGCCGTGATGGGCCAATAAAACATCACTAATAACCGCCTAGCGTTTAGAATGATTGCGCTGCTGTAATTGTTTTACCTCGATAATTACCCTCTGGGTGCGTACATCTATAATTTGTGTCCAATTAATGCCTGACTAATATTTTCGCACCTACTGCTTAAAAATAACAACATAGTAATCGAAAATTCAATCATTTAGAAACGCTAAAATTTATTATGGGGTGTGAGAAATCCGAGAGGGTGAAACTCTTTTAATAAAACAAAGAGTTCCCGCCCGGAGCGTCTGTCAGAAACTTGTTTCGTATTTATTAAAAAGTAAATCTCAATTTTGATTGATTTACAGTCTATCGATAACATTTGCGACGCTGCGGTGAAATTCATAATCGTGTATTGTGTTTCCCTTTTCTAAATTTAATATCGGGGCGAGTTTCAAAATAAAAACTGTGATCATGGTGTGTGATTGTGGTGGGCGACGACGGCCGGTAGAATACCGATGAGGGGGCTGATGGCTTTCTTTAAACAAGGCCTGAAGTGAGGGAGAAACTTAAATTAAAAAACATAAATTCAAAAAATAATAAATAGCCAGACAGACTTGCTTTCTCATAAAATTTATCTAATAAAAATAATTCACTAATGATTATTACACCAGATAGAGAAAAAATATAATTAATTACCTACATCAGATTTACCTGAGAAAGAAATTATCTTAACTCAAAAAAGACAAAAGTTTAGCTTTACATACATGTACGAAACAAACAATAAAAAAACTATAAAAAGAAGTTCCAAAGTTCTTTCCCATCACAAAACTGTTTAGTTAAGATTTGGAATACTGGACTGGAAACCCAACATTCGAATTAACATCCAATTCAAATTTTTCTTGGAGAAACCAAAAACCCTTACCTATAAATCATACTTTCTGATTAAAAAGTTAAAAAAAAACCTACTCTCAAAATTTACAAAAAAGAGAAAAAAGCAAAAAGAGGCATTTGATCCAATTTTTAAAAAAAAATCAGGTATAGCTATACAGGGTGTTGCCAATAAAAGCCGCAAATAACATTGAACAGAGTTACAATTTAGGATATAGCTTCCTTGTTTCCTCTTCTAATAGCCTTTAGTAAAAAAACTCGGAGAATTATTTTTCCAACAGAAATAAATAAAGTCAAAGTGCAAAATTTAAACTCTCATAACTACGAAATTTTTATAGATAGAATTTTTATGTTCCTGGCATCTTATCTTATATGGCATTTTTCTCTGGGGCAGGAGTTCTGGCGCACCCTGTATATCAGCCTGAATAGCTGAGTCAAAGAGTCAATAGGACGGTTAAAGAGTCAAAATAGGATTATTAGAGTACCTTTTTTTACTCTCCAGGCACAAACCAATAAAAGTTAAAAAAATGCAATTCGAAAAAAAAAGAAAATAAACTTGAAGATTTTTAGTTGATTAAAAAAAATGAGGCACCAAAATACTTAAGTACCAAGTTCAACTTTAAGAAAATATTTTGGTTTTACCAATTAAAATCTGGCGGTGTTGGAGTTATCCACCAAAAGAATCTCATATATTTCATAATTAGTAAACAATTTTTTCGCAAGACACAATATATTTTTTTAATAACAGTAGTTACAAAAACTTTAATAATACAGAAACTACAAAAATAAGCAAAAATTTTAGTCTTAGAAATGCAAATTTGATCAAAATTGCGGAAAGCGTGTCCGCTGTCTGTTGAAAGGGTGAAGAAATTTATTCATAGTAAAGTCGTGTGTTTTGGCACGCGTATTAATAATTACGACGTCGGCGTCTGGTTCTTGCACCCTTCTTGTATCTTGTCCACGTTCCGAGTACAAAAAAGATGCACACGGCCCATAATTGAGATGAACAGATGATAGGAACCGGTAGGACGCGTGCTCGACATAAAGCCTTAATACCTGACGCCGGTAAGTACCCTCTCTCGTCCTATTAATCAGTCCGTCGAACGCTCCTCTTTTTTCTTATCCTCCGGGTCGAGGTTTTATTACCACCTCCTGCGTGTGCTGTTAAATGAGTCCTTCTACCGGTGTATAACACGAGGTCGTAAATCCTCGTCGCTAGAGGACCATCCGTCATAAGCCTCAATAGATTATTTCCTTAATGCGGCGATAAGGCCGAAATGACCGCGATATTCAAATTTTTAAGCTCCGTTTCTTTGTGCGCTGTCCAAAAGCCGTATCACGTATTCAACACGGGGCTACTTTTATTCGCACCCCCATCGTCGCGAAGCAGCTTTGTGCACCCTTTCGGCCTTTTCTATTAGCCTGGTTTGCCGCCTCTCCGGACTTTAAACATCTCGCAAGATGTTTCCAACCGCCCCCACCTCTCGAACCCTTCGTGATAAATAATCGCGGGTTCGTGGAGTCCTTTGTGCTCAGTTCGCGGCCACATTTTAAACATATGCAAATGCGTTGAAGCCTTCTGTGATGACCGTGACTGGAAATTCTAAGGGTGCGGACGGCTGGACCAAGAAACGGATTAAGCACAAGCACATTAAAGACGAGAGACATAAAAAAATTTTGATTGACGAGCGACTTAACATTTAGTTAATTTGTTTACATGCGAGTTGGAGACATCTTCGCGTCGCTTGTAAAATCTTTAATTACCTTTTTATTGTACCATTTGAATTGCATATTAATATAAATGCCGCTAATGGAAACACGCGTAATTAATTTTCTGATCGTTAGATAAAAATCAGCAAAAATAATCTAATTTAATTTACGGTTTGTTATTGTAGATTTAATGCTTTGGTGTCGTAAGGACGAGTCCTACTTCGAGAATTATTACCATTTCACATGACGCATGTTTTCCGTGTCGGTCGCGCCTTCAACCTAAAATTACCATGATGGGTTGATAGAAACGTAACTATTATTTATCGTCCAGTTCATGTAACACAACTCCCATAATCAAAACTCGATGAAAAGCAATAAAATCAGATAAATCAAAGATTAGTCCAAGTGCCAAGGTAAGACAATATTTTGACGTACGTTCTTTCACATTTCCATTTGGCTCCGAGTAACCCAATCGTATTTCTTACGGTGTCGGTGTCAAATGTCTTCAACCCGCGGCGTTTAAATTAACAAACTGTCATTCTAACACAACCCGTCCCCCAGAACCGACGACGGGAATATTTAATAACTTGCTGTCGAAAATCGACAGAACAAGACTCTGTGACGAAAAAAAACCTCGCATATGTCGCGATTATGATGACCCTCGGGGTTAAAGAAGTTTAAAATTTTACTATACGGTCTAGTGAGTCTATTAGATGAAATTCAAGGGTGACACATGGCAAGGGTTAGGATGCTGGACAATGGTGTTTCATCCCCCACGATGCGTAACATCGATTGATTGCCGGGTTACGAAACAAACGATGCTTATCTGGAGCCTTCGAGCGAAAATGCACACCGGTATGACGAATTCGTTATTGTTATTAATTATTTTGTAACCGTGCGTTAGCTCACTTTCACTGATCTGGATGAGGGTATGTTTTTGATGCGAGAGCTTGGGTTTGGGCCAAGAGCCGCCGCTCAAATGAAATGTGTGGGATAGTAAACAAAACGTCTTATTGAACACTTTCCAAGTGCTACTTGGTCTCAAAATTCACAACACATAAACAACATAAGAACCACAAATCAAAATATCAAAATTAAATGAAACCTTGCGTCCTTTTTCTGTTTAAAGTGACAAAAAAGCTCAGTATTAATATTATATCAGTACCTACGTAGAAATTATAAAACTTGCTTGCTTCCCAATAAAGATTTAGTGTTTTTAGTAGGAACACTTAGTTGTTCTTTTATATAAAAAAATTCTATTTAAATGAAGTTTTATAACATTTACGTATTTTTTTATTTAGATTGTGTTCCTAGTTGGACTCTAAAGAAATACTAACCAAAAAAATCATGTCCGGAAGTAATAATTGTTAATTAGTCAATAAATAATAATTATTATCGTAATTTTATTTAGGTGATTTTTTATTTACCAACAGTATGCCTAAATGTAATAAGAGATGAGCCATCACAGCCCCAGGCAAACGCTAGTTTTCCATACATGAATTGCGCTGCGCCTCATAAATAATTCTTTTAAATTAATAGATACGTTATCGCTTATGACACATCGATTTCTCCAAAATTTATCCGCTGTCAAATTTTCCTTTTCCCTTTGATTGCCTGATTGCAAACCAATCACTGTCATCACTGAAAGCGACTTTCCCCAACTTACCACTATGTGTGGTGTTCGACTCGGCGTCTGCGAACTCCGTCCGCGATTTCTTGCACTGACTGCTCTCCTCCGTGGTGTCCATCCTCTCCTGCTTGATATCGGGCTTGATGTCCTCCCCGTCTTCCATGCTGGAGGACGTGAGCGGTGATGCCGAGGCCCTTCGTTTGGGGGTGGAGGACGCGGCGCCGTCCACGCACAGATCGCCAGGTGCCGGCAGTCTGGGGGAAGCTGGCGGTGGAGTATGCACTCTGCTCCCAGACGCTTTTTTCCCGGAGATGGGGGCAGAGATGCTCGGCCGGCGGGTGTTGATGGTGGAAAGGGGCAGCGCCCCGTCGTCGTTGTCTCGTTCTCGGTCGGCGGCGGCGAAACATTGCCCGAAGTTTTCTTTGTTGCAAGACGCTACTTTGTGCTGGATGAAGCGGACGATGTCGGAGAGGGCGAAAGGCTTCTGGCACACTCCGCAAGTCAGAATGTCCTGGTGGGTGTCTGTGCCCGCCCCGTCTGCGTCTGCTGCAACAAAGAAATTTTCTTAAATTAATTCCAATCCCAAATTTAAGTAAGTATAAATGCGGTTTTGGAAATTTTCTTTCCGATTTTTATGCGGTATCGATTTCTGTAAACAGCTGCGATTCAGTCCCACCCCCTGATGTGACCGGGTGTCGTAATGACACTCGACAAGCAGGGCAACAACCCCTTCACCCCCCTAATAACGAACCCCTACAGGGATTAGCAATCACCAGCTCGTCGATCCATATTTTTAATTGTTCTTCTTAACAGGGTGTCTTGTTTGCCGGTTCATTGTTGATAGCTTCCCACAATACAAGTTTTACGCTACTACAATCAAAATAAAAATCTAAACGACCGTTTTGTTTAAACGAATAATTGCTAGACGCTAAACAAGGAGGTTTCTCCTTCTACTTAGGATAATTATTATATTAGTATTATTGGCCATTTTGTGGATGTAGCCTTTACTGTACAAATAGGCTAATTGCCTCATTTAATTTATGGCGAAAGTCGGTTTTGACAATTCATTTAAATAGCAGAAGCACAATAGAGACACATAAAAAAATACCAAAAAAGGAAAAACCAATTATGTTTTACTCCTCTTATTGTCAAGAGAGTTACAAACATAAAAAACACAATTTTTCTGTCAAAGAGCAACATCCGCTCGGAGTTCCAAAGAATTCGAGAATTTTAATAAACCAAAATCTTTAAACATTTCTTTATTAACACCCTCAGATGTGGTCATTTTTCTTACAAAGATCAAACACACGAAAATGACTTACGATGTGATAATAATTGAAAGGTTCTAAAAATACTCTACTGCTTTTAGCCCAGCAACCTATTTATAATTTAAAAAATCAAACTTTCTGCATAGTGCTCCTTTAAAATGTAACCCCTTTAGGTGACCTCAACTCTCTTTATCCTTGACCGTTTCCCATAGGTAAAAAGATAAACAGTAACCTTTTTTCGTCCAACCGTGTCCGGTCTCAGCTACCCCTTGCAACTGACCACTCCCCGAACTGACCAATAACAGTGCGCGAAGGGTTCATTCACACATCACCCTTTTTATTGGTTGAACAATCGGACAATGGTCAGTACTCATTGGAATTTGTAACCCTTATATACAAGGAGCAATTTCCGTTCAATTTGCTATCAATCTTTCGATAACGGGACCAGAAAACAATGACAGATACAGAAATAAAATTGGCTATTTTCTCGTCTATTACTGGACCAATATATATTGTAATGTATTCTATTGGGTCGTGATAAGGAATCGACGGATTGGAGAGGCTGTTTGTGAGACGTGATGCATTTCAAGAGCGGAAAATGAATGATTAAAAGGGCGCAGTAACAAGGCTGTACTATAGTAGTCACAAATTCGATTATTTTTGCCTTCAATTGATATCAAGAGTTGCAATTTCGGGTATGCAGGTAGAGTCGAGAAATAGTTGTAAAGAGGGGAAAAGAGTCAATGGGTTTGTTTGTGTCCATATTCCACCCCCCCAGGACCGTATGCGCAATAAACAGTAGACGCTATCCCCTAATTTAATTTGTGAATTACGTCGGGTTAGTCTATTTTACCGATATGTGACAACGTGGCCCCAAATGCGATTACTGACCACCTCCTGGCGCCGTCAAAAACTAAGGAAATCTCGTTATTGTCGCCGTGCTCCCGGCTTATTTGACACTTTTTCGTCTCAGATGCCCACCAGTGCGTTCGTTCTGACGTTGGTATTGTTTTGTCGTTAATCAATATTTCCTCTTAACTCTAAGAAAAGCGCGGAGAACAAAAACCGCCCTTTTTAGGGTTCGGACAATGGCGAGGCTGAGACGCGTCCGTTGTTTGGACCATTGTAGTGGTCCGTGTGCTCAATACGCACCTGGACATTTATGTTTTGTGGAATGGCCGACGAAGGGTTGATGGTTAATTTTCTGTGCTGTTTGGAAGCCACGACACAAAGAATGAACCCAGACTCCAATGTGTAATCAATTGCACCCTATAGCGATCAATATACACAGTGATCCATTAAAAATATTGGGCTTTCCACTCTTGTAAAACCTTCCTAATAAAACTCTAATGCTAAATCTACCGATCAAATAAATAATTCCTCAAGATATATTGTTACGAGTTTCTCCTTGACCAGTAATTTGAAACAAATATGATTTTTTTTAAGTTTTGCATCTTATAATAAAAAAACATAAAACATTATAAAAATTCGCTGATATTACCTGCCGACATGTCTGAGAGATAATATGATTATCTATATTTTATGCAATATTAATTTCTAGCATGTTCAAGGTTTGTCTACATTGATCTTCCAAAAAATTACTTGAGATAAGTATATTTCCTTGCACTACGCTATTTTTTGGAAATCCTTATCGAAAAAAAAAAACATCCACTCTATTATATTTACGTTTCTTTTTTTAATTTTCATTGTTCAAAGTTCCAAAAACCCACAAAGTAATAAAAAGGAATAAATAAATAGGACCAAAATATTTTTATTAATAAAAAAACAAAAACTATTAAAAAAACTAAAAGATAAACAAAGCCAAAATAAGCAAGGTGATTTTGTATCATTGCACATATCTAGTGTTTACAATTATTGCAAAACTTTGAAGGTTATTTTAGAGATAAAACACCTCTATTGATTTATTTCGAGCATTTGTTTAGCAATAATAAGCAAGGTATTTATTTGGAATATTTGTCCTACATTTCCAGAAACTGCTGTAAAACATTTTCCCCCTATTGTCAAAAAGGCTTAAATAAAAACCTCGAGCGTTTAAAAATAGTGAGACATCGGGTAGTTAATGTCATGACCCGATCTTCATTTGTCACCCCCGAGGGCCAATAAAATGACGCCGACTATAGCCACTCGTCGAGTTTTAGAAGCGGTATCTGGACATTATGTGACTGGATATACGAGTCCTTGGCTTAATCAGGACATCGCAAGGCTACTATTTCCAATCAAGAGGGCTGCGAGTAATGGCCTCGAAAAGCTATATTTTATTCGGCGAAATTAATGAAGAGATTACGGTAATTTAGTGTTCGCTTTTGGAAAAACAACAAACCGACTCACCTATGAAATACTTCCAAAAGAGTTTCATTTTTAAAAGTAGTTCAACCGTCATGATACATGAGGCACAAGGACACTGGTACTGCTGTGGATGCTGATTGTGAACTGATACAGGTAGTAAGATCAAGGGTGCAGATGGGGTAAGGTGGGGATAGACCCTTAAAAAAATATCTCGGGGAGGGACCTAACAAAAGAATCCGGCCGAGGTTGCAAAAATTGATGGTAATTTTCGATATCGGTTTCCAAATTATCAGACCTTGAGGGAATAGCGAAAAAAAGGGCCAGAAACCGTTAGGGGGACCAGCAATGACCCAAATTGCTAGAATCAAACCGACGTTTTAATGGTAAAACGACATGAATAGAGACGGTAAACATCGGTGAATGGGACCCGTATTGACGTATAATGGGACATTATGGGCAGGTTGCTGCTGACCATTGTCCTCCGACAAGTGCCGAATGCATCTGACCCTTTCTTATGGTCGGTGGTTCATCTGGAGCGTGGGAGTCTTACGATTTCCACATTTACAACACCTTGCTCATAGCATGTTTACAAGGCACAACAGCTACCGTTAGAGGTCGCGTTATCTATAAATCACGCATCCTAATTGTTCGTATATCAAAGTCGACGGAATGAATTATGGCGCGCGAAAATAGCTATGTCCATAGTTGGGAGGACGCGAATATTACACGATGCGATAATTATTTACCCACAAACAAAAGCCCAAGCAATAGGCATATCTCACCAAGCCAAAATACATATGATCTCTTCTCTTTTGAAACAAAAAAACTGAAACAAATATAATTTTCTTTTATTCCTTCTTCATCAATTCATTAAGAGTTGAGTGCATTAATTTCCAACCAGTCTATACACAGCAAACTAAAAATAATTTAATTAACCCCCGGCAGGTCTCTTTCATTAATTTACAAATGGTGACCACGTTTATCAATAAACCCTGAAAGGGTGTAGCGTATAACAAGATTTTTTTGTTGTTTTGAATGTGTTTTTGTTGTAAAGTTTTAATTTGAGGTATATCCGCGTTCGGCATTTCCTAGTATCAATGCGTTTACATTCAGCGTCCAAACATGTAGTTAATTATTTTCGCGAGGGAATATACGGGCATTTGTTCTGAATAAAGGCATGAAACCATCACACAATTTGCTTGTAAATTTGTTCGGTCCTCGTACGGTCTAAACAAGGCATATCTAAGCCTATTCTCATCGAATATAAGATTTATCCAGCGACTATTCTCCCGGTCGTCAATTAGATCAAAATCGCGGATCAGAGATCGATATCTTAAGCTACTACTGAGTCAGTTGCGTTTGTTAACATCACGACACCGGCAATAAACCATGTTCTAAAGTTGAGTTTTAGCTTCAATTAAGACGGTGCTTATTTCGGAGCTAGTTAAAAATAGTCCCCCTTTTCTGGCCCTGTCCAATATTTTTCGTCTTACCAAAGTCAGCCAAATGTGTTTTGTTCATGAACAAACACATTAAAATTCTCTTAACTAACTGCCTGATCGGACGAGGGTGGATCGACAACTTTAGAATATTTAAAGTATAGGTCCTTCAACTCGCCCCACGTGTGACGATTATTTTAATATTTCAGATGCACCACCGCCAATTCCAAATTGAATTGCTTAATAAGCCACGAAATTACACAACAAAACACAAAAGATGCAACTTATTTACATGCAGCATCCGTTTTCTCTTTTTCCTGAATCTCAAATTCGACATTTGCATATCTATCGAGCTTAAAAAACCGATGATGTCCACTTTAATTGATGTCAAGTGCGCATTGTCTGCATTGTGTGCGGTCTGCAAATAAAACCTGACGAACTGACAAAAATGATATTTTTTCATTGGCTGGAAAACAGCATCGCCTCTGGTTCCCGGCTCTGTCAATTTAATTAGCAAAGTCGGTTAATAAAA